TGCCCAGGCTGGTGAGGGAAGGGAAACAGCTGAGTCAGTGGAGACATCTCATTCTGCATCTGTAGTTGTGGGGCTGGAAAGGACCTCAGCCCCCTCCCATGCCTGCCACAAACCCACAGTGGGTGGTGAGGTTCCTCTGCTGCTTCAGTAATGGTGTCTGTCCAAAATAGGCACCTGCGCTCCTTTGCTATGGTCCCATGGTCACTGATAGAGATGGAGATCAGGAGTTCCCACACAAACACTTGGTGACATTTGAGGGGCCAGATGTCGTCCATGATAATAGAGCATTACGGAGACATTGAGAAACATCTGGGGGCATTTACAATCGCTGTCTCACCCATCCCCACGCAGCCTGACCTGCTTCAGGGCAGCTGCTCATTTGGTGGCCAAATCCAGGGCTGTAGTGCTGTGTGAGACACCAGGGCTCCCCACCAAAACTGCATGGGGCTGGCAGGGACAGCACAGGACCTACAGGAGAGCCATGTCCCCTAACAGCTGGTGCGTGACAGACACCCATGGCGGCATCTCAGATTAATTGGGTGCTTGTGTGAACGTGGCTGATTCCCAATCCTGCAGGGAGGCCAGCTCTGTCCCAACTCTGTCCAGTAGATGCAAGGCACTGCATGAATAAGCAGCCCATTGCACTGGGATCTCCACTTCTGAACCTCCATTCTCGGCTTCTTTGGGTTCTCCTCTCCTCCATCCTTTACTCACCCTCCCGATGATGCAGAGTCTTCAAAGCATCCATTAAATTTGAAATGTGCCTGGATCACAGGATGTCCGCACCGAAGGACCTTGTCCTTCCATGAGATCAGTGTCCTCTCTCCACCAAAGGCTCTCAAGGGCTGCAGAGACACCCCAGACAGCAATGCTCTCTCCTGCCAGCATTTCTCCAGCCCTCTTTCTCTCTCACCTTGGGCACAGCAGGGATTTCTCTCTTGGGGGCACCTCACGTCTCTCTTACAATGCCCTTTTCCACCCTCTCCAGCACGTCTCTGCCATGAAGAAAAGCTCTTGCCTACATGGGCTCTTGGGTGCTTGGTGTCACTGTTCACCATAACAAGTCTGAGCTTGGCCCTGGACCTACAACTTAAGGGCTGCAACCCAGATGTGAAACACTCTGCTTGGAGCAGGAACAGGCAGGAGGAGCTGGACCCCTGTGGTCTGTCACAAGTTGTGACATTGATGGAATAACAGCGGAGGCACAGTGGGACCTCTGAGACAGCCTGCATGCTGCAATGACTGGAGAAAGGTTCTTTAAATAACATAGGCTCGCAGCATCAGAAGAGGAATACTTTCTGTGTGAAGGAGCTGCTTGGCTGTATGGAGCTCCTTTTTGCAAGAGGGAACAGTTTGGGTGAGGCCTTGTGAGTGAGGATCGAAGGAGAGGCCACGTAGGCCACATTGTGGTGGGAGATAAAGCACCTGAAGTCAACGGGAGGAGGTGGACAAGCTCTTACTTAAGGAACTCAAGGAAGTCTCCAGATCAGTGACCAGGGGCTCTATCTAGGGACTTGAATTACCCTGACATTCCTTGGAGGGGGAGCACAGCACCCTGAAAACAGATAAATAGTTTTCTGGAGGATGTTGGAGCAATTTCTGAGGAAAGCCACCAGGTGGACCAACAGAGATGATGCTCTCCTGGATCAGGTCCTTGCAAAGCACGAAGAGGTGGTCAGGGATGTCAAAACCAATGTCATCCTGGGCTGTAGTAACCATGAAATAGGTGGGTCCATCTCTTGAGCAGACTGAGGAAGGAGAGGAGCAGAGTGCAGGTGTCAGACCTGAGAGGGGAAGGCTTTGGGCTATTGAGGGAGGGGGCTTTTAGTGAAGACCCCATGGGCAGCAATGAAGGGCAGCACCACTCAGTACAGCTGGTCCTTAATGACAGAATTGCCCACCAAGGGCAGTGGTGACTACCTAGCTCACAAGACCAGCTTGGGTGAAGAGGGAACACCTGAGGAAGCTCCATAGGTAACAGAAGCATATACAGGAGGTGGATGCAGAGGCTCACTTCAGAGGGAGGAATTTAGAAATAGGAATGGCTTTAGGAATCCCACGGCTTCCCTAGAGATGAGCCTTGCAAGGGAGTCCAGGGATACCCTAACCAGCTGCTGCTACTTCAGTGACAGTGAAAGAATGAGCACAGGTTATGTGGGGCTGCTTCTGAACTCAGTGAGAGGAGATGGAGAG